GTTTTGGTTACAATCTCAGAAAGTAGGACCATATTTCACAGTGCCTCTCTGATTGCGGTTGGCTCAAGCTGGAAGACCGATATAGAGTTCAGTTGTTTTTTTACTAAACTCCAATAAGACGCCGTCGTACTTGTTTCATAAGCTTTACAGAGGAAATGATATTCATAATCGAGACACCCGTCATTGTTTAAGATATTGCGTTCCTAGACAATACACTTCGGTAACTTTCCAGAGATCTTTTAGCTATAACGCAGTTAAATTATTTAATTTCCTACGCTATAACGTCCTTCCCCACAATAAGGTCTTTGAAAAAAGGGTTAATATTGTTTATTAGACTCGCCAGTATCCATTATCGAGCAACTTAGTTATGGACTTTGGACCCGAACCTTCTCCAGATGTTGTTGATCGAAAGGCGAAGACTACCGTCGGGCTAATTTCTCGGGTCCAAGGGGGGAAATTCCTTTTACGGTGCACCGGCGCGTAAGATTAGCTTCTGCCGTACACCGGTCAAAGCAAATTAATCGGACCGAACTTCTGTTCCAGCCCACTATTGACATTTTCCGTGCCTTTTGAAAATAGCTACAGGCGGCGAATTACCTTGCTGACGTCATTTTTGGTTGTTTTTGTTTAATCTATGGCACAGACGTAAAATGTTTTGAAAAAAAAACATTGGTCTATCCGAACGGCGCGATCAAATATGGCCGTCTAGGGCAAACAATTGTAGTAGGTCAGGTTGAAGGGTAATATTATACAACTGTGAAATAGGCAATACTTTATTCCAACATCATATTCGACGATTCGATGGAAGTCATCCATAAGCAATTTGAGGACCCTCCCCGGGGCAGATTGCGGATCAGACCACCAATTGCTTGCTGCAGACATGAGATTAAAATTGAAAAACATAAAATTACCCCAACCAGTATCCAGATTGAACATGCAAGAAACAAAACTGCTCAAAACAGAAATAAACAGAAAATTAGCCGACAATAAGATAGATATCATGAACAACGAATGCGAATCGGAATTAGAAGCAACATTGAAGGGAAAAAACAGGCAAATGAAGCACAGGATGACAGGGGTGACATTGAGGATTATTGAGAAACATTCCAAACAAGAATGAAAATCAATTGAAACACGCTCACCTTAGTCGAGAAATTCAGAAAAGATGTCGAAAAAATAAAAATGAATATATCAAAAAGATATGCGAAGAGATTGAAAAGCACAAGAATACCAACCCAACGAGTGATCTTTTCCAGAAAGTGAATTCACGCCAAGTCGCCGTATACCTTATACCGACAACAAAAACAAGGTTGAAAAGATGGCGGACGACGAGACGGCGGAGAAGCCGACGAAACTCGAACGAGTCCGGCACGGCACGACCGCGAGTGGTTGCGTCATTGGTTGCAGCCGAATAGTGTTATCAAATGGGGTCTTATAAACAAATATATTATTTTTATATTTTTGTAATTTTTTCACTTAGATGAATCTGTACTTTCTGTGATATTTTTATTAAAATAGCGTTTGTTCGTGAACAAAAATAATAAAATCAAGTTGTTTTTAACGGTTTGATTCCGTTTTTTTTCTTAGGACTTGCCAACACTGACGTCGATATAGATGTGCACAAAAACGTTGCCACAAATCTAAAAAAACCTAAGTATTTTGCTTCTCGGTTGTTCAAAATTTAACTTTGCGCCATTATGGCGCAAGGGGATATCCTCAGGTCATCTATTTAGAGTATATATGTGGTGTATCGTGTCCAGTAAATCCTCAAGCTATCCATTCAGAGGATATCCTTGGCATGTATTTTACAGTATATCCTTAGTATATATGCTAACGTATATCCTAAGAATATCCTCGACATGTCCCGGGACATGCGACTTAAATAGGACATTGACCGGATATACTGGGGATATTGTGTGCTATGTGGGAACTGCTTCTTCGGCATCAATAGGACAAGCTTTGAGCACTTGGTTTAGTACACTCAGATATAAATGAGGAGAATTAGTGTATATTATTATTTTATTTGTCTTATTTTTTTAGAGAGTTGCGTTTTACTTTTTATTTGTGATAATACTTGTACGTTGTGCTTTTTGTGTTGGTCTGAATAAGAAAAGATTTAAAAAATAGGAGTTAAATTAATTAATTAATTAATTAGGATTAAAATCAGCCCAACCCTGATAATGGCTGGGTCGCAACAATATTCGAAATGCTTTGTTCCTGTTTACTAGTTACTTCTTAACAATAATTTCTAAAAATTGGTACACACACATGTGGTCTTTATAGGAGCAAGTGATATTTTAGAAAAATAAAAAACAGTCAGATGGTGATATTACGCAATGCATCTTGGTATTGGAACCAATGTTCTGATTCAATATAGGATTTTGTAAATCAAGTATTTTTTCATTTCTTTTCATTTCAGTGTGTAGTTGTTCAAATTTGAAAAACAGACATCATTGTAATATTAATTTTATTTGACATAAAAAATTTTGGTCTTTACAGTTCACACATTTGTTAATTGATATTAATGTAATTGAAAGAGCTTCAAGTGCAACACAGCTTAGCCATACAACATTCATAAATATTGAGAAATGAGCAATAGCGAGCGACTGTCTAAAAAGCAAAAAGGACAAAATAAGATCTACTACACGTACCGAAACTGAACTGAAAGATAAATGAATATTTTAATTTTTTCATCAGTTCGCTAAGAAAACACGTCAAAAGTATTAATAATAATATAATGCTTATTAATCTCCAAAGCTTCTAGTAAATTTAATGTGTGCCCATCCTTTCTATAAGGTAAAATTTGAAAGTCTTGAATGAAACTATTCATTTTCTTAAATGAATTGCATAATTGAAGCAAGCTTATTATTAATAAATGTTGATGTTTTTTTATTCGTTTGGGGAAATCATTACAGGAAAGTTTATATGACCCTTGATGTTTGGTTTAATTTGTTAGACTTTTATTATTTTTAATGTAACATGCCACTCTGCTCGTAAATACAGGGTCCTGCATTAGTGCTTCGGGCATTCATAGTATCCTTATTTACAACAGTAGAAAAAAAGTTTAAGACAAAAGTTGTAGGGTGTGATCTGGTGGTGGCATATTTTGAAAATATTTTTGCATTTTTTGAATGGTTAAAAAAGTGTGACGTCATAAAACACATTATTTTAAATTGTACACCCTACATTTTTTCTCAACGTTTAGGTTTTTTTGCTGCGTTATTTCAAGAGCCATAAATGAACAAATAGAAAAAAAAATGTTCCAGCTAAATAGTGCGAACAGTAATTATAGAGGTCTAATAATACTCTGAGCTTTTTCTTATTTCATACAGGGTCTCCAAAATTTGGTTACAAAAATTGCAACTTTAAGATCAGTTTTTCTTAGTATTTTTAAATGGAGCACCCTGTGTTTTACTCCATTATTTATTGTCATTATGAATGTATTAAAGTTATGAGTACTTTTAGAGATGTTTATTAAAAACTAGAAATATCCTCATTGGATTAGTGCAGTGTATTGGGAAATTACACAGGTCTACAGTGATTTTGATGTTTGGAAGCTGTTTTTGGGGACTCTTTAAAAAACGTCAATTTTCGTTTTTTTTTATAGCCCTTTATTTCTTAAAAATGTTATTTTATTAATATACACGCCTATGGCATGAATATGTTTGTTCCATGATTCTTCAATTAATTGATTTTTATGAAATTATATGCGATTTGGCAACACTGGATTAGATTAGATTTTTCTGCAAAGCAACAGAATTGCGCAGAAGCGTCAATACAGCGTTGTAACCTGCTTATGCGCAGTTTGGTTCTATTGGACGTCGTGCCACTGTTTTCGCGTCTGTTGTCTTCGTTGTTGCGTATTTCTAATGTTCTAGAAAGTATAAATATGGAAATAAGACATTGCGTGAACAATCCAAATAACTTTTGTTATATTCGTTATATCTGTAGTAGTTATGGCGTAGTAAAGCAAAAGCAAACTATAACTTATGGCGAGGAATCACGTTGATGCAATGTTCAAGAATTTAGCAGACAAAATAAGAAACGAATTGTGTATTCCATTCTTGACCAGTTCCTCATGGACCAGATCTACCGATACCTACCGCCCCAAACCAAAGGATTGCATCCGAATTGTTAGCGTCCAGACTTCGTGACAACCATTTACTTGCACCTGACATCACATCAAGCTTTTATCAGGATCGCCCAAACAAGTTATGTCAATATTTTACCCAGGAAATACCGCTAGGGTATTGCAACAATATTCCGGACTTCCCGTTCCCGTTGCACATTCGGTGTATTTAACAGAAACGTATGATCTTTTGAAGAAAATAAACTACCAAGAACATCAGTGCATGCTTTGTGGTGGCCTTAAAGTGTTGAGCATGCTCTTGGGACAACAGAGGGTTATACAAAATTGTCATGTTTTATTTGTGAGTGGGCAAGGCATATACATTATACTCATTTAGAATGACCCTCCAGAACAAGCCTTACATCTGGTAACAAAAATGTATTAGGAGATAGACCCAAAAAAAGTTTTACTAGGGGATCCAGTAAACTTGGCTTGATGAAGCAGTTTGAAAGAGGTTTCACCATCACATTATGGCGATCTACTGCTGGATAGTAGAACGGGATACACCCTTAAAAGTGGACAGCCGAATGTGCGGACAACTCAGCTTTTTGGCAAAAAGACGAAGATTTCACTTAAAAAAGTCTGAGTTCTTGGTCACTTTTTTTTAACTAGGATTCCACTGTTTTACTGAATAAAAAATAAATTATTTTAGAAATATCGTTTTTTTTTAAATCAGCGTATTAAAATATTTGTCAAAAAGTTTCATTTTGTTTCATTGGCCGCAATTGAAATATTATCCCAGCAAGCTATGGAAAAACAATTGGTAATTTTCGACAACAAATGATTTTGACATCCGGTTTTCTTGTAATCATTTTTTATCATTCGGATTCTATTTAATTTATTAATTAAATTTTGAATTTTCTCGTCACAGGTCAGAGATATCAGGATAACAGAGGGTACCAGGGCCAAAGACAGGACAACCGAGATTATTACCAGAGGCAGTCCGATTACAGGGGCTACCAAGGCACCAACCAACAAAGTAACTACAACCAAGGTGGTCCGTACGGTCCTGGCAGTTCGTACAGCCAGAACAATTACAATCAAAATTACAACCAGAGAAGTTACAACCAGCAGGACCGTAACCGACCTCCCGGGCCCTACAGAGATAGATACGTCAGCAATAACAGATACAATTATGGACGATAGATACAGTATTTTGACAGGACCCGAAACGTTTTTTGACGGCAAGCTTATAGATTAACGGACAGATTTCATTACGCGCTATTCTTTACTTTTTAACTTTTTTAAAGTGGAATTTTTAAAATTCGACCCCATTTTTGTGTCGTTTTACTGTTTCGTTCCCGTTCGTTAGGAAATTATTGGTGTTGGCGTTTTTTTTCAGGATATGTAAGCATCTCTTTTCCGTTTACGTCAAGTAAATATTATAGTGGCGATTGCATTTTTATTTTTCATCAGCCCAATAAATACGATTGTGCAAAAAAAAAAGAAAATTTTTGGAAATTTGTGGTTTTGTACAGTGTGAGCAAACTTAATTGCCAAAAGATATTTTTGGAGTTACAGGGACTAAACTAATAGAAAAACAATTTTTTTTATTCTATCACGCAACATTTTTGAATTAATTTTTGAGGTGTCCTATTTACTGTCTGAAAAATAGGAACATTATATTGAAATTGCTACGCCACTGGCATACGTTTTGAACAAATTAAAATTACTTCATCGCGCAATTGCGTTTGCCGTAGCTAAGTAGCTAAGGACTTTGTAAAAATATTCCGGATACGTTTTGCTATGTGTGTAGTTCTTTTAAAATTAGACCCCTGTTTAAAAAACAATACTACTAGTACTAGTAGTACTACTACAATAATGCAATCAGGCGATCCTATGATATGGACAGAGCCAGCAAAACACTGTGTAATGTCCGTGGATATGATAGTCAAAGTGTGGAAAATTGTTTAAGCGAGATTTCTTTTTGAAATAACAATACTTAGCAAAAAATATTCCAGATACGTTTTAGTTTGTGTGTGGTTCCTTTGTAATTAAGGAATTTAGACCTAAAATTACACACCTGGTTGTATGTAAAGAGCTAACAAATCACCATGATGATTCAAAATTTAAAAAACACTGTTTATCCGAACCTCAAACCTGCAATTAGGCCAGTGCGACAGCCAATTTATAAAAAGATACCACCGGTTTTTCTGAACCTGAAATAAATTAAGACACCCCTAGTCATGGTAGTGATGTATGGAGTGTTTCTCAGCGACCACAGTTAGAACTTCAGAACTTAATGACTTAGTGAGAGACTATGGAGACTATGGATCTTTCCCAAATTTTAGCATCAGACCTTCGAAATAAAAATTTACTGGCACAAGACGTTAATATCTCCTTTTGATGAAGGAAGAAGTTATAGATTATTTTGAACAAACTTGTTAATTGCACCGATATTCCTAATCTAATTAAGAAACTTGGGACAGACTACAATTCTGAGGACTCGCGGCTGTTTAACAGAAGCCTTGAAGGTGTTCATAGATATAAGAAAGTGACTAACTGATACAAATTAAGGAAAGACCCGGGCAAGCTGTAAGAATGAAATATGGCCGAACAGGTCCGTACTTTGCTAAGAATTTAATTATTTGGGGTTTTGTTAGGAAAGATACTAAACAATATTTATTTATTTGTATTATTTTATATATTTATTTATATATTATTTGTTCTATATTATTTGCAATATGGATATACGATTGTTCTGCTTTTTCTATATGTTTAACAGAATTTGCCCCACTTTGTGAAGGGATGTTAGAAACTTCGGTTTCTATAAGTTGGAGTTAACACGGGGAAAAACATTGTTACGACGAATGGCAGATTTCAGTTGGTGCCAAACATGTTCAATGGGATTAAATATACAGTGGTAAGGTGGGGAAGCCTGAAAACTGTATGCCCTAGATTTTTTGCATAATTATCACTGACGTATTCCTTTTGTAAGTGATAACTTGCATTGTCCATTATAATTACGCTATTAGGAGGAATGTTTGGAACTAGTTTGTTTCTAAACCAATTTTTAAATAAATCAGCGGTGGTGTTTTCATGGTAATCCAGAGAAGAATCTTTTAATATTTTTCGCAGACAGAAAAGTCCATTTGGATTCCAACCATCTTTCAATGAGAGTCAAATAAACATTGTGTATAACTTCCATAGTCTGAATTGAAGTGTTTCCTAGATTTGGGCGGGAGCATCTCCTGAGATACACTAGATTCGCACATATTTTGCATAATTCGCACACGATTCAACGCACGCTATATTACACACGAAATAAAAATGTTTGCTAATATACTTAAACTTAACCGTTAGCTTAAAGGGGTGTGTAATTAGGCATTTTACAGACGGGAGTAGAAAAAAATAATTACGTTAATTTATTTTGTAAATACGTTGATTATGTTTTGCGTGGTTCGAATTTCATAGCTTTTGCCGTTTTCTGCGTCGCTCCGTATACGGGTGGCGAAACAAAAACCTTTTTTCCCCCGCGTGGAAAGCTCCTGCGGTCGAGAACGTTAAAGCGCGACGAAAACCGTGCATGCCCTATCAGCCCCGGGGTCGGAAGGTCTGCAGGGGTTGGAAGTGGGCGAAAGCCACTTGAGGGGGGCCATACGTGACCTAACAAAGCCCATCTCGGCAGCGCTGCTGATTTAATGATGTCTTGTTTTAATTGCTGACAAATTGCCAATTCCTGTTGTCACGTTCCCGTCGCTCTTTCCACCACCAGGAGTCATGCAGCAAGGTCCCCGCTCTCCCCACCGTACGATTTTTAAATTTTCGACGACGAAAAAAAAACGTTATTTGAATGTTTTCCGCAAATTATTTTTTTAAACTCCTTTTTGCCGCATAGTATGCAGAGTATGTTGGGGCAAGCTGGCGAATTAGATTTTGATGAAAATCAAAAGCAGAAATCTGCAACGTTGTTGGGTTTGCGCTGTAAATTATAAATTTAATTTTACTTTAGTTACCGTGCCTTCAATTTATCTGGATAACATTTTAATTGGCTGTAACTTTTTCGTTTTTAGAGATATCGAGGTAAACAAAAAAACAAAATGTAGGGTTGTTAGCCAGTGACGTATAAAACAAAACACTATCAATTTTCTGACATATAGGCCTACACCATATTTATATCACATATGTGTTTAATAGAATATCTTATTCTGATTACAATGATGTAAAACACTTATTTTTAGTTTTTTCGTTTTTAACAAATCAGCAAAAATAGGAAATTTTTATATAATTTCCAAGAGTGCCGTGAGTGACTGCAACAACAATAATAACTTTACAAACTAAAGTAGAACAAAAGCACTAAAAATGACAAGACTCACTAAAGTAAAACATTCTTTAACTATTCTAAATACCGCTGTGTGTGACCACCACTTTCCTGAACACGTTTCTCATACTCTCTAATTGTATGATGTCTTGCATTTAATAACTTTTCCCAATTGTCTCTTAACTGATCATTTGCAGAAGTTTCATAAAATTATTAGAAGGAGTTCTGTACATGTGATTTTTTATGAGTCCCCAAAAGAAAAAATCCATTAAAATTAAGTCGGTGCTGTTGGCTGGCCAATGCATAATTCCGCCGTTCCCCATCCAACCCCTGGGATATTCCATGTTAAGAAAATTTTTAACTTGCATAACATTGTGGGGAAGTGCACCGTCTTGTCGCTATATATTCCGCGCTGATATATTTATAGATAAATCTTCTATATACTGTTCTATTTGGTGCTCTAAGAGTTGCAAATAATGATCTCCAGTTAAATTGTGATATATAAATATCGGACCCAAAATATGGACATCCATGACACCACACCATACATTAATTAATTGGTAAAGTCTGTTCATAGATATAAGAAAGTGACTAACTGACACGAATTAAGGAAAGACCCGTAAGACGTGTAAGAATGAAATATGGCCGAACAGGTCCGTACTTTGCTTAGAATTTAATTATTTGGGGTTTTGTTAGGAAAGATACTAAACAATATCTATTTATATATGTATTTATGTTTAAATATAAAATAAAATTATAAATTATTTTTATTACCTACTTAAATTACTTAAAATTATTCAAATAATAAATTAGTATCACTATCGCTATCATCGCCTGTTCAAATTATTATTTTTTATATATTATTTGCAATATTTGCCCAACTTTGTGGAGGGATGTTAAAAACTTCGGTTTCTATAAGTTTGAGGACATTGGAGTTAACACGGGAAAAAACATTGTTACGACGAAAGGCAGATTTCAGTTGGCGCCAAACATGTTCAATGGGATTAAATATACAGTGGTAAGGTGAAAGCCTTAAAACTGTATACCCTAGATTTTTTGCATAATTATCACAGACATATTCCTTTTGTAGGTTCAAGCTTTGTAGAACCTCAATTAATTGGTTTTTGGTATAATCTTCGTGAAAATAAATGTCGTTATTTTACATGTAGTTTTGGATTGTTGCTTTTGTGTCACCTAAGGAAGGGGTTTTAGTCAACTATCTACTGTGATAACTTGCATTGTCCATTATAATTACGCTATTAGAAGGAATGTTTGGAACTAGTTTTTTTTTAAACCAACTTTCAAATAAATCAGCGGTGGTGTCTTCATGGTAATCCAGAGAAGAATCTTTAATATTTTTCGCAGACAGAGAAACTCTATTTGGAATCCAACCATTTTTAGAGCCAGCATGCAAAATAGTTATTCTTTTACCTCTTTTTGATGGCGCGTTTGATTTACACTTATCAGTTGTGTCAACCCAACCCTTTTCCGGGATATCATAAGTGTCGAACCAGGTTTCATCCAAGTAAATAATTGGCCTTTGTTGTTCTCTGTAAATCCTAATTTTTTCTAGATATTCCAATCGCCATTTCCGAATTCTAAAAGATTCCAATAAAACTTGCCTTTTGTCATTTTTTTTAAATCTAAAACCCCACTTCCATAAGGTAGTTCTGCCACATTTAACACCTATTCAAGCTTCCTAATTAAGATATTTAATATAGGCACGCTTTGTTCCTCGTATAACTGGTAAATTTTACGCCGTATTATATCTTGATCACTTTCATCTACACTCGAGAAAATGTTAGCATCGCTTCTTTTTTTCCTTTTCACATTATTCACAATATTCCACACAGTTGATGTTGGAGTTTTCGTCAATGTGGCCGTTTCTTCTAAAGATGCTTGCTTGGTGGCACCACGTTCAATAAGAGTTAAATAAACATTGTTTGTAACTTTTTTGCATTTTTGCATGTAGGTTTTCAATGTTCCACTGATGCAGATTTCGAAAATTTGCGATGTCATCACTACAGAATGTAGCCTCGTTAGTTAACAAAATGACATTTAAGAATTGCGGGTAATTTTGAATTTTTCCTAAAATTTGATTGCATACAATTAGAGGTTGAGGTTGA